ACAGTTGTCACAACATGCTCATGATGATTGAAACTGTGACCAAATAGATTTTGATGTCACTTCAAGTCCTAAGGCCCTGAGGAGGGTGTGGCAGCTGCCCCAGGGAAGACAATGCCCTCCACATTGGCCCTGTCTATGGTCCCACCAGCAACTTCAACTTGGCTTAGCATTTGGTGCCCAGCTTATCTAGAAAAACAGTAAGGTCTCCCCAAATCCCACCCCACTTAGTCCCTAAGCTCTTCCAAGGGAAGACAATGCCCTCCACATTGGCCCTGTCTATGGTCCCACCAGCAACTTCAACTTGGCTTAGCATTTGGTGCCCAGATTATCTAGAAAAACAGTAAGGTCTCCCCAAATCCCACCCCACTTAGTCCCTAAGCTCTTCCAGTGGATTTGAGCATCACTGAGTTGGGGAACTGTGAAGTCTTCCCACCCTAGATATTCTGATTCTAAGGTCTGTGTTGGCAAATCCTTTGATACTCTAGCTCTATAAAACCTTCTCTTGGGGGGTCTTCCACTACTGTTAACTAATAATTTTTAGCCAAAATGTTACTTCTTATCAACCAGGTTTCTTGTCATGTAATAAACATGGGTTTATTGACAAATGGAGGCCATGTCTCCAGAGGGTCTTCTCATACTTTTCTGACCTTTGTTTCCTCCTTGTGCATCCTAGCCAGCTGGACATGAATTTGGGTTCAAATTCTGGCTTTGAGACTCCATGGCTATATGACCCTATTACTTTTATTTTATTGATTCTTATTTATTGAGCACATACTATGGGCCAGGCACTGGATTATATGCTGAGGTTATAGCAGTGAATAAAACAGAAAAAAAAACCCTTCTGTTTTCATAAAAGTGATGTTCTAGGTGGAGGAGGTTGGGGTTGAAATACTTCAACAAATAAAACAATGTGCAGTGTGTTGGGTTGTGGTGAGTGCTGTGGGGACAGTGAAGCAAGGAAATAGGACAGAGAGATAGGATGTAAGCTATGCAGGTAGCTGGGGCAGGACATCCTGTGGGGAGAGGAGATAGCAAGTTCAAAGGCCCTGGGGTATGTGTGTGGATCAGCAAGGAGGCTGATGTGGTCAAATGTAGACAGCGAACAGGAGAGTGAACTGAAGTGATGTAGGAGAAGTGACCAGGGCCAGATCACATAGGGCCTTTTGTAAAAACTTTGGATTTAATTCTGAATAAACTGTGGAGCTCCTGTAGAGTTTTGAGGAGAGAGAGAAGAATCCAGTTCACAGTGAGTGTGCTGCAGGCAGCTCACACTGGCTGGTGTGAGCCAATTGTTAAATGTCCAGGCATTTGGCGAGCCTGTTGTCCTTATGTTAGTAGCTTGAAATTGCCATGGTGGGAGTATTTACACCATGGAAATTGGCAAGTGCTACAGATCTGGCTCCTCCTCTCACCTGCCAAGAAAGCGAGTTTGAACATTTATAAGCACTCTACTGGGCCAGAATAACTCCAAGGTTTTGTTTGTTTGTTTGCTTGAGTTTGTTTCCTGAGCAGTTGGTAGGAAGAATGGCTCCTTACTGAGATGGGAAAGATAGGGTAAAACAGGTCTAGGAAGAAGAATCAGGAGTTTAATTCTAGATACATTTTATGTGAGATGCCTCTTCGACTTCCCAGTAAAATGGTGAGAAGCAAGTGGATATGAGCTGGATATAATTAATAGTTGTACCAGCTCATAGGATTACTCTGAGGAGCAAACAATACAATTCATTTTTTACTTATAAAAAATAAAAATTAATGTTTGTAAAGAACCTTGCAAATAGTAAGTGCTCAGTAGCGTAAATTTCTTTATTGTTGCAATGAGAAAGGGCCTTAGTCACTGTCTAGACCAAGGGTTGCAAACTGGTGGCCCTCAGGTTGAATCCAGGCAGTACACATTTTTTTGAAGGGGGCATTATTGTAAAAGCTCAAATTTAGATGATTTTAGGTGGGGCATGTACTTTCCAGTTCATCACAGACCCCCCCTCTCCCAAATGATCTCACACCAGCACAATTCCTGTATTTATGTGACTTGCCTGGCTCTGAAGGGGTTTGAGTTTGCATCCACCCTTGGTTCTAGGGAACCCATCATTTTTCACAGGAGGAATCTGAAGTCCTGAGAGGCTAGGTGATGAGTTCAGGGACGCTCAGGGCATGGAGGAAGGAAGCTAGTGGTCCTCCCTCCGAGTCAACGCTCAATCTAGTGTTGCCAAAATGATCAGAAGAGAGCAAGTCTGCCCTCTGCGAGTGTAATCTGAAGTCCTGAGAGGCTAGGTGATGAGTTCAGGGACGCTCAGGGCATGGAGGAAGGAAGCTAGTGGTCCTCCCTTCCAGTCAACGCTCAATCTAGTGTTGCCAAAATGATCAGAAGAGAGCAAGTCTGCCCTCTGCGAGTCCTCTTCCTGAGGCTAATGCTGAAGGCCTGGCTTTGGGGAAGGATTTCTGCTTTAACTGCTTGAGGTTCCCAGATGGGCCGCCCTGCTGCACTTGTGCTTACTGGTGGAAATAAAACCAAGTCCTGTATGAAGCCGAAGGTTAACTGAATATTTGATGCCTAGAGAAGATGAAAGCAAGATTCACATTTTCCTGTTTCCTCCTCCAGGCCTCTGGCACCAAAGGGAGATGTCAGCGGTCTTGTTTAAGTAAAACTACCCATCTGGAGGCTCTCTGTGAGGAGAGGACAGCCAAGCCAAGCAGAAGGGAGGAATCACAGACAATTTTGAGGGACTTGGGGCGGGTGGAATCCCTGCAAGAGAAGCCAAGAACTCAGGGGATGATTTTACCTTCTCTTGGCTGAAGATTGAAGTGGTGTGTCCAGTAACTCCCGGGGGGGAGGGGCTCATAAACTGGGACCGTAAATTTATATTTATCACGCAGGTAGTGGGGAGCCACAGAAGGCTTCCTAGGGGGAGAAACCTTAGGATGCAGTTTTCTATTTGAAGCTGAAGCTATGAAGACCCCAGAACCTTCCTTTGATCCTTTTCCTCTGTAACCCCTACCCCATCTCCATGCTCCAGCCACATTAAACTTGCCTTAAGTTACTAAGTGGGCAACACTCTCTCATTTCCAGGCTTTGCAGATGCTGTCTGCAAGGGTGTCAGGGATGCTCTTCCTTTGCCCTCTTCATCTGCCTACCTTCTCTTTCATCCTAGCTGAAAAGTCACTTCCTCCTGGAGGCCCTCCCTGACTTTACTCAGGCTCCCTCTGCTGCCTGTCCTCCCCCATCATATCTCCTATCACGTTTCATACAGTTTCTTGTTCACCTCACACACTGGACACTGAGGGTGGAGACTGTTCTGCTTTTCTCACAACTGTAGCTCCAGCACTTAGCCTGGTGCTGGCGTTCAGTAGGCATGCAGCCATGTTTTTTTTTTTTTTTTTCTAGAGTTAAGAGAGACAATCCAATCCACTCTTATCTAATATAAACTTTACTGCTGAAGGTACAATGATCAGAAGCTTTCCAGCACCTAAAATTGTGCTTGGCTCATAGTAGCCAGTCAGCAACTATGTCTGGCATGACTGAATGAATGAGCATCTGATTCGAGGCTCTAGAAGTCAGACAGAAGGGAATGTGGAGGAGAGGATGAGCTCTAATTGAGGAGTGAGTGAGTGAGGCAATGAGCCTCCAGTAGCCACAAAGCACCGACGTTCCAATTCCCCAGTACCGATGAGAAAAACTGAGGCCTAGAAAGTAGCTTCTGGTCACACAGCTGGGAAGTGAAGGAGGTGGAATTCTTTCCTAGGTCAGCCTGGCCCCAAGTCCACAAGGAGCAACTGTTCAAGCTCTGTTAAGTCTTTGACTCAGCTGGCACAGGAGGAGGTCCTGGGACATCTTCTGAGGATACTTCTGCTGCCCCTAAGGAGTAGCCTCAAAAGGCAGTCACTAATAATTTGCAGACGATTTCCCTCTTCTCTCGCACAGCTCCTCTGCAGAGCCAGGCAGCTCGAGTGCTGTTTCCAAACCTGCTGGATTTTGGCATCTCCTCCTCCACCCTGTGCCCCCTCAGCCACCTGGGTTTGCTGGGAAGTCTTTTCTTCTGCTTTCTTCAGACACTGCCACCTGTCTCTGACCCCTTCTCATCCCCATCTCACATGAGGAAGTTGGAAGAGCATGGCTGAGAAGCCACAACAGCCTGGATTTCAGCTTTGCTACTTGCTAACTGGGTGGCCTCCCTGAGCCTCAGCTGCCTCATCCAGAAAATGGGGACAATTGCCCTCCAGGAAGGGTTATTTGTGAGAATTACCTAAGATGTAAATATGTAGAGCAATCACTGGCACATCTGACCCAGAGCAGGTGTCTTCCTGATCCCTGTGAGTGTCACCCTTTTGGAGAGTTAGGGAGGAAAGTTCTGGGTGGAGCATCTAATAGTTACCCCCACCAAGTTTAGAAATCAAAGCCCTACAGCCAGGTAAATCCACTCATTAAACACTTTTTCATTCAGCGATTATTTACTGAGCACCTACTATGTGTTAGGCTCTGTGTTAGATTCTGGAAACAGGTAAGCCCTACCAGGCCCTGACTGAGAGGACCTTCTGGTCTAGCAGAGAGAGACAGACAGGAAAACAAACCACTGTAGTATACTGAGTACGTAGTACAGTGCCCTCATTTCTCTGACCACACTGGCCATTTATTCCTTTGAAAATGACACGTTTGCTTTTGCCACAGGGCCTTTGCACATTCTGCTCCTTTTGGATGCATCACTCCAATTTATCCTTTAGTTCTGAGAGTTAGTATCAGATACTTGGGGAAGTCTCTTCCTACCTTCCTATCTATATCAAATCCCCATTATAGAACCTCATAGCACTATAAATCTTTCCTTGCATTGCTTACTAAAGTTACATTGTGCAATTATTTGTACTCATCTTCATTTAATATCTGTTTCTTTAGTATACTGAATTTTCTGAAGACAGGGATTCAGTGTGTGTGTGTGTGTGCTGCTGCTGCTGCAGCAGCTGTTATTTTTATTGGTCTCACTGTAGGGACTCCAGTTCTTTGCTCAGCCCCTGCCACACAGTAGGTGCTTAATTACTACTAGTTGAAAGAATAAAGCAGGAGCTATTTATTCCCCAATCTCCCAAATTCGGTTGGATTGTGGGGCTACCCATCAAAAACACTCACAACTGGATATCTAAGAAGATCCGTTTCTCTTCCCCCACGTGGATCTTCCAGATACAATCTTCACCTTCCACATAGGGCTCTGGCCAATTTGGGGACAGCACCACTCCAGCCACAGCAGAAAGTTCTCCACCACACATGGCTGTAAAAGACAGACAAACTTTATTTGTAAGAAAGCCAATATGGCATAGCAGTTAAGAGTGTGGACTATGAAGTCAGACAAACGTGGATCTCTGTATCATGGACAGGTGCCCTCACCTCAGGCAGTCAGTACACGTGTGTGGAATGATGACATGGGAGCTGCCACCTGTCTCCTCTTTAGCTGAGGGCTGGTGAGAGTTGGGCTATAGGTGCTGTAATTCTTTCAGGACCAAGGACAAGCTCAAATGTCGGAAGGACTCCTCAACAGCTCTGCCCTCGTGCAGATTGAGCAGTGGCTAGGGTACGGTACACTCAAGTCAGGTGGGCCCAGGTTCCCAGCCCACCAACAGGCCCTGGGACAAGGTATGCAACTTCTTGGAGCCTCAGCTTTCCTTCTCTACAAAATGAGGGTAACACCCCTGCTGGCCTCATTGGGTTACTTTGAGGCTCGATTGAGCTCATAAATGTCAAACATGCAGCACTGTGCCTGGCACATGGCAGGTGCTCAATAATTTAATTAACATTGCTGTGAAAGGCTTTGGCCCTGAAGTGGAGGGAGAAATGTGGCTGTGGCTGGTGCCCTTTAAATTCCACTCTGTGTTTACTGCTTTGGAAAGTTCTCAACATGGCAGAGGCCAAAGCACCAATAAATTCCGCTCTGTTAAACCAGCACATTTAATACAGGGATCAATCCCTCACCATGGCAAACTTGTGATTTCACACCAGCCACCATCCAGGCAGCGGCTGCCAGGAGGGAGGACACCCTTCATTACTCCACATGCCACCAGGAAATCCATGCTTGGGTGGCTCGGTGACCTTAAATATGGGGGCATGAGTAGGGCAGGCCATTGGTAGCCCATGCAGGTGAGGATTCTACACAGCCGTCATTGTCCAGAGGGGCTCAGAGCCTAAGTCTCTGAGAACAGAGACCTGAGTCCCATTTCTGTCTCGGCCAATTACCCTCAGTGTGTTCTTAGACATGTCACTTCACAGCATTGGTTTCCTCATCTGTACATGGGGCTAATAATACCTAGAGTTGTGGTGAGAATGAAACTGGATCATGCACATACAGTCCTTGGCAGAATGCCTGTGACATAATTATTTCACAAGTATTAACAACTATTATTATCATTATTATTAATGAGAGCCAGGGCTGACATGTATTGTTGAGTGGGTTGTGCACTGCACAAGGGTGCATAGCAGAGTATGTAAGAGCTGCAATCCATGCAGTGATCTGCTCACCAAGTTGTTCACCCTGGAGGAAGGGGCACCTTTCAAAATTTGTGATTTTGTCATTTCCCCGAGGACCATCAGCAACACTGATCCAAAGGATAGTGAGCCCTGGAGTGGGTTCTAATCCTCAAATCGGTGTGTAAACTGGGGACATTCCTCTAAGTTGGGGCCTTGATCTTCTCAGCTGAAGGGGTGGAGTTCCCTGGGGGGCCCTGGGAAGAGGGCAACGGCTCGCTCACCTCTGCACAGGGGCTCCGTGTCGTTCCAGTATGGGTCCCGCACATTGATGCACTCGATGATGGCCGGGCCCTGCTCCAGGGAGTGGCCAGGGTCGCAGATGAATTCCACTATGGTCCCAATGTTATAGGTCGGGTCGGATGTGGTGAAGTTCCCATTCTGAATGTAGGGCTCATAGCAGTGGCCTTTTTCAAAGGCTGGGGTGGGGGTAAAAAGAGGGGCAGCAGCTCAGATGAGTCAAAGGCCACCCCACAGTGCTGTGTCTTAGAACATGGGGCCCCTCTTGCTGCTTAGGAAATCTCTGAGGAAAACGAGCACCAGACCACATGTTCCAGTTGCAGCTGACCTGCTGAGAACCCTTGGGTCATTTGCTTGACTTCTTGGAGACTCACTTTTTTCATATCTAAAATGGGAATAAGAGTCTCTACCCTCTCAGTTCTGCAGAGCTGTTGTGTTTTAATTTTTTTCCATATCCCCTATGTATCCTTCCCATGTCCCATGACTTCAGAGTTCTCATTTCTGCCACTGGAAACCATATGTTTGTCTATAATAAGGACCAACCCTTCTTGGGAACATCAGAAAAGAAAGTCCCCCAAGGTAGGTGAAATGCCTTTCTTAAAGTGTCAGGGTCTGAACAGGAGAGGCCCTTGCTAATTCCTCTTGGAGGAAGAGGTAGCTGGACTCTAAGAGGTCTCACTGGGTGGGGTAGAGCTGAGTTCAAGGGCCCTGATGCAGGCTGGACAGAAGTCAGACCCATTCTTACTAAGTGGTAGCCTTGGTAGCAAGTCACCCAAGTTCCCTAAAGCTCGGTTCCCTCCTTTACAATCGGAGACAGTAACAGTTCTAACATCTCAGTGTGGGGAGTACCAAACAGATGGCGCACGTGCAGCACGCAGTTAGTGCTCAGTAAGTGGTAGGCATTAACAATCAGACCAAGAGTCTGTCTTTGAAAATAAAGGGTCAGTCTGACCACTGGCTCTCTCCCATCTTCAGCAATCCAGATCTCTACATCCCAGGACACTGTTCCAGTCCCTCATGACTCCCCTGCTCCCAGGTCACAACCTCAAGAGGAGAGGACCCAGCGACCCTCACCCTCAAATCGGATGTTGAAGGCTGAGGCTGCCCGGGCCTGGTCAGATGTGAACTCGATGCGGATGGTGTTGCTTTCGCTCAGCAGGCCCTCGAAGGGGACACTCTCGGTTTGAAGAGAGTCATAGAGAAGAGTGGACTTGTTGGTCTGCCCGCTGTGGACCATCATCCTGGTGGTGGAGAAGGAGAGGAGGGACACTGAGAGATCTTCCTGAGTCATGGACACACATCCGTGGGAGGGGAATGCAGTGACTGCTACCTCTGGAGTCTCATTCCTGGACTCAAGTCCTGACTTTGCCTCTTACTTGCTCAGACAAGCTGTTCCCTCTTCTCCAGAATGGGATTAAATGCTTGTTGCAGATTCCTAATGGGTTTATCCCAAGGTTGTAGGCTGTGTGATGTGTATGATGTAATGAACCATACTTATTAATTGACATTTATTATTATTATTAATTGAAAAATTGGGATTCATGGACTAATAACATTGCTGAAACAGTGGCATATATAGTCAGGCAGACCTAGGTTTGAGTCGTGACTCTGTGACTTCTGAGCTGTGTGACTTTGGACAGGAACACTTCACCTCTCTGAGCCTCTGTTTCCCTACTTGTAAAATGGGTACAATCAGACCTACATCAATGTGTGAGGATTAGAGACCATGAACATAAAGTGTCCAGTCCAGAGTAGGTATGAAAGTCATACTTACTAAGCATTTGGCTCTTACCAGGCTCTGCCTCTGATCTTCATTTCCTAAGAGCACTGTGTGAGGAGTCATGAGTCCTGATTTCCAGTTCCCAGTTCCCCCCTGTCTGAGTTTACATAAGTCTCAACACAACTTTGGCTCTCAGTCCCCCCAGCTGAGAGAGAAGGAATCATGACATCTTTCCAATCATTCTTTCACCACCAATCTTACAGGTAGGCTTTGAGAATATTTCAAAATAAAGTGCCCTGAAAAATAAAATGTGCTAGTCAAAATGTTGGGTGTTCATTTTTATTGTTTTACTAAAGCCATTTTATACCTGACTCCTTGCTAACCTTGGCATTTTAAAATAAATTTTGCAAAAGTGGGGAAGAAAACAGTACATAAATCAGTGAAGTTTCTTGTATGGAGTCATAGACACACATTTTTAGCCCTTTGAATTTTTCACTATGACTCATAAAAAGGGTTTATTTTATGTTGCCCAGATGAATTTCTAATGTCACCAAGATGCATACATTTGGAGCCACAGTTTGCTCATTTTGCCATGTGTCCAGTGTGGCTGAGATGAAGCGGGGGGCTGTGAGGCCAGGGGCCATCCCAGGAGTCGGGAGGGGCACCTCCCCTGTCTTCTGATCCCTGCTGACTCTGCTGTATCTTGGGGACTGTGATCCAGGACTCCCCTTTTAAGGAACAGAAGCCTTTGGCAAAGAGGGTTGCTCTGGGGGAAAATTCCAAGATCTCAGAATCTCTAGAGTCTGTCAGTCTTTTAAAAATAGCAATTTCCTGGCTATGTTCTCAGGAAAATGTCTTCAGTAGTAATACATTTTATCTCAAATCCTTATATAGTCTGAGGTCAAATGGGTTTGGGAAGTGCTGGGTTAAACAAAACAAAACAGAAACTTTACTTTTTTCCTGCAGGACTTGTCAGTACCTTTTCTGGCTAACGTGTGTTAGGACCTTCCAAGACAGGGGTAGAGTGGGCATACAGTGTCTCCTAAACATGTTTGATCAAAGAACCCACCTTTTATGCTGCATATCATGGAGCTGGAGTTTAGAAAGGCTTCATTTGGAGAAGAATCATCTTAAAATCTTTCTTCATGTTCCTTCTCTACTAAAAATCCTCCCATGTCTCTCTGTTGCCTGTAGAGGTAGCCTGGCATTTAAAGCCCTTTGGGATATGACCCCAATTTGCCTTTCCTGGTTTATTTCCTCCTGCTTCCCATGGGAATCTTTGCAGCAGCACCTCCTACCCTCTAAATTCTCCAGGCTTGAAACACTCCTCCCACTGTTTTGGAGTTCCTTTATCCATTCTCTTTCCAATGTTTAGATCAAAGTCCCATTTCTTATGTGCAGTCTTACCTAGCTCTGAGCTCTTGAAGCTGACACATTGTGGCATCTGAGACATTTTCTCCTCAATAAAGTGCATGGGACAGATAAAATTAATTTGTCTTTTCTTCTTAGCACAGTGAGTATCTTCACCTTTTTTTTGCATTGACCTTTAACCTTGATGAAATACCACAAACTTCTTTCTTTACAGACACACTTGAGAACTAGTTTTCCCTGGTGATTGTCAACTCATACTTTTCATGATCTTTGCAGGGCCTCATAGAGGCTACTAGTGAGCAGTGTGTCTGTTTGGCCCATCTGTCATGATTTCAATAAATTTCAGAAAATACTCACTTTGGTTAACTTTTTTTCTCTTTCTGCTCATTTTTTTGGTCTGGTACAAACTTGGTTCATCTCCAGAACCATTGAACTGAGGTCTAAGTTTTAAAAAGTGTCCTTTCCAGGGTTCCTATGCCTGGTTTCCCAACTGCAGTTTCCAGGAGGAAGAATTGAGAATTTGATTTTTAAAGATGTCCCTAGGTTATTCTGATGCCACTGAGAAGCCATGTTCAGGAGCCCCTATTCTATACTTTACACTTTAAAGCAGGGATTTATTGATATGAAGTTGTTCAGGATAAAGCTGGACTGCTTGCAGGGAAGTGGACTCAAGAGATGGGCAAATTATTCAGTTGTCTGTTTTTATTACTATTATTTTATTTATGAGAGTCCTTTCCAACCTAAAGAGTTAAGGGTCTAGGTTTAAAATATCAAAGAAGCCAGGACACTAAAATTCTAGGATCAAAGTTTGTAAGCCTCCAGAATTCTAAGGTGCTGGCATCCTGGAAGTGTAGTAAATGCTACTAGTGTCCTGCCCCTCATATCCCCTTAGCACTTACTGCTCCCACACTTTCTGCTGCCTTCCTACACAAAGTCTCTGAGAATCAGCCAGCTCAACCAGCTCAAGGGGCGGTAGGCAATGCTGAGGCGTTGGCATGCCCAGGAGCATCCTTCACCTATGATAGGGGTTGGTGGAGAAATACCCCAGCTCCCTCTCTCCTCCAGGAGGATTGCTCTGAGGTGTGCTCACAGTGCCTCAGATGTCCCCAGTGGACAGAATCCCAGCTTCCCCAGCAATCACCTGCTTATTAGTGTGTACTATATTGTCTCACTTTCTCATGCCCTACTATTATGGCTTACTAGGAGCAGCTCCCAAATAAACTATTTTTCCCTCAAATTCTTGTCACCATGTCTGTTTCCAAGGGAGTCCAACCTAAGACAGCAAGTCTAAGCAGCTAAAGTCCTAGTTTTCTAAAATACTCTAGAGTAAGTTTTTAGAATATTAAAGACTTGAGATTCTGGATTCTATGCATATCAGAGTCTGCAGACATGCTCTCACTTACATGTTGCTTCGTAACTTCTCCACTAGTTATTTCATGTGCATAAGACTCATTTTTCCATCTAACTTCCTATCATACCAGAAACCAGTGTTCTCTACTTCTCTCCTGCTCTCCATAAAGCCTAATACATGACTGGACCCAGAGCAGGTGCTCAATAAATAATCCCTCTTTTTTTCAAGTGCAAAAAGTAATGTGCAAAAGAAAGAATGAAGTGGCACAGTGTGGGGGACCAGTATTCCCTTCTCGCCTCTTCTGCTACCCTGCTGTGTGACCTGGGACAAGTCCTCTCCCTCTGTATGTGTTTCTGTGTAAAAGAAAGAGATTGCACTTGATGGTCTCTGAGATCCTTGCCATCCTTCCCAGTTCTTCCTTTCTTGAATTCCATGAGCCAAAGCTTCAGCCATTTCAAGACCCCCACCCTAGCCACATTCTAACACTCTAAGAGAGAATGGAGCTGGGTGGGGACCTTCAGAAGTTTACCTGTCCTTCTCATGCAGCAACAGCCTCTCAAAGTGCAGATGCAACTTCTGGCCTTCTGGAGCTTCGATCGTCCACACGCAGAATTGACTCCCATTGGCATTTCCAGGGTAACTTGGGGAGAGGACACGGCCGATGGTGGCGTTGTACACAGCCCCTCCACAAGGGGCTGGGTCCAGAAAGTAGGAATGGGCAGGCAATGAGGGGAGAGCAGAGAGAGGAAGTGAGTGTTGTATGCTCCCCTGATCCCCCTCCCACCTCTCAGCTAGAGTGAAACAGGAGAGACCTGAGGTAGAGGAAACAAAGTGGGGAGAGAGAAGGCTTAAAAGGGACTCGTCCTCCTGGGAGGGAGTCATCCTGTTTGATAGGAGACCGCACTTCACGATTGGAACCATCAACATGTGTTTCAAGGTAGAGAATGACTGTGATTTAAGAACTCTTCTACGGAGATGGTTGTGCTCAGACTTTTAATTATAAAATGGTAATCAAGAAGGACATTAATAGGCAGATTACAAAAGAAGAAATGTATTTTTAGTGTTTAGTAAGCACTAAAAGATTCAGCTTCACTAATAATAAAGGAAATGCAAATTTGAATTATATTCTATTTTCATCTACCTAATTGATCACAATAAAAGGCAGCAATAAAATTTGGAGATGGTAAACGTGATCAGAAATGTTTACTCTCATCCATGACTGGTTAGAGTACAAATTGTTAGGAACTTTCAGGAAGGCAATTTAGTGAAAAGTCTAGAAAATGTGCTCAAACACTTTGACCTAGCAATTATGGTTCTAAGAATTTATCCTAAGAAAAAAATTCGGAGAATTGCATAAAGATTTATGAATGAGGATATTCACTGCTACCTTGTTTCTAAGAGTGAAAATGAGAAACAACACAAATGTCCACTCAGAGATGTTTAACAAAATAAATATACTCCATCCACGCAGTTATTAAAGACTGTGTTCTCAAAGCATACTTAAGAATATAGGAAAATGCTCACTATTTTAAGTGAAAAAAAGTGCATGTTAGAAAATGGTCTGCTATGCCTATTTCAATGAGCTATTTGCAAGGATCAATTGAGACCATAAGAAGAAATGGGATTTGCTCCTATCTTATATGTTTTTGCATTTCTTGACAAGTTTTCTTTTTACCAGAATCATATATTACTTTTATCATAAAAATCTAATAAAGAAATATTAAAATGTGATTCGTGCACTAGAAAGAGTTGTATAACTTTTTCCAGTTCACAAGTTAGGAGGCATTCTTATTCTTAGGAGTTATTTGGTTCTTAGGAAATTGATGTTTCATGTACTGCTTGAGAGAGCTATTCTGAATTTTCTAAAACCAAGCAGAGCTGGTGGGCAACAGGCACCTCTCCCAGAACTAAGCAGTCAGTTCAGGAGGAAGGGATGTGAGGTACATCTGAAGATCATGATTGGGTAAAGCCCTGTGCCAAGATCAGGGTTTCAAGTGTTGGGAGCCATCTCTATTTTTTTTTAGGAAGATCAAAGAAGTTTGAAAAATCTTCCTTCTCAAGCACAAGTCCCTTGGTTCCTTCTCCATTTTCAGAGGAATAGAAGGACAGGAAGCAAAATTTGGACAGGCCCTTTGGAATCCCCTCACAGAGGACTAATGGGTAAACTTTGTGGGTAATATGAAGTTATCCTCACGGCTCCCTCTCTCATCTCCTACAAGTCTCTGCTCAAATATTGCCTCCCGTCAGTCTCATTTTGTTTTTCTGCTCAATCTTTCTTCATCACTCTGATCACCATTTAAAAATGAATATATGTCTTTGTTTATTTGCTTTGTTATGTATTTCTCCCCCTGTAAAATGTAGGTTCCACAAGAGCTGGAACTATTTTTTGTACATTTGTTTTTTATCATACCACCAGTAAACAGAAGAGTTCCTGGTATGTAGCACGTGCTCAGTAAATATTTATGGAATAAACAAAAACTATGCATTTTGCAAAAGAGGACAAAAAGTTCAGAGGTGTTAAGCTACTTGCTCAAGGACACACAGCTAGTAAGTGGAGTAGTTGGGACTCAAGCTCAACCTGCCTCATTCCAGAATCTATTATTAAAACCACTACTCTGGCCTATGTGTTTTTCATGATGATATTCTGATGATCCAGAAAGGTGCATGGTAAATAGTGGGTGTTATACAAATGTTTATTGGATGAAATGAATATTTTTTTCCTTTGTGTACCTCCAGCACCAGCTCAAAGATAGACACAGGGCAGGTACTCATTGAATGTTTGTTGAATGGCTGTATGAATAAGTAGGGAATAGGGCTTGCAGTAGAGGAGAAGCGTGGATAGCTCCCCTCTCTGTTCTGGACTCTACGGTGAAGACATTGCCAAGAAGCGCTGTACTTCTTTCAGAACCACGGACAGAACACTGAATTCATTGTCTCTCCAGGCTGCCATTCTGCGCTGTAGAGGAGAGATTGTCCTCTCAAGTAAGCCAGCCCTAGGTTCAAATCTCACTTGTGCCATGATCTGCTGAGGATCAAGGACAAGTCACTTAAGTTCTCTGCACCTTCAGTTTAGGAAAATGGTGATAATAATTCCACCCTCCTTATAGAATTGTAGTGAGAAATCAATGAAATGATGTACATAGACAGCTTGGTGCCATCCCTGGCATAGAGTAGGTACTCAAAATGTAGCCAGCATTATAGCACTGTGCTCAGGAGCTGAGAGATGAAGGACACTGTCCCTGGTGGGGAGTTCTGGCCATCTGTCCTCCTTGAGCTACTACACATTTGTTGCCTCTCTGCTTCCTTCTTTGCCTTATTAAGCCGACTGCTGGCTCTGTTTGGTTTCAATTTGCCAGCCGTGGCTCCCCATCCATCGTTCTTAGCACAAATTGAGGCTTAATTCTTCTCTGATTTCACACATAGATAAAAATTAATGTGAGAGAAGCGTGAAGACCAACTGCCCTATGATTTAGATTTTTTTTCTTTGTTAAAAAAAAGAAAGAAAAATTCTGAAGGACCTTGGGGAACAGTACTGCAGCAATTAAATCCCAGAATTTATCATCAGCTCTCATTTGCTTTTTGGATTTCACTTGACTATGAATGCCTAGAGGGCAGGAATTGTTTTCTTATTCCCAGTTTTCTCCTGTACATGGCTCATAGACTGGCACACGGTAGGTACTCCAGTTATTATGCAAAACTGATACCTTCTTGGCCACCATCAGGACTTATGGAATATAAAAGGGTTTTGCTCTCTTGATAGCTAAAGATGGTCAAGGCTGCACCCATTGGTGCTGAAACAGTATGATACAGCCCAATGTTTCTCAAACTATAATGTGCACATGAATCACCCAAGAGGCATGTTAAGATGAAGATTCTGATTCAGTTGGTCTTTCATGTGGCCCAGGATTGAGCATTTCTAATCGTCTTTCTGTTTGAGGACCATGCTTTGAGTGATGAAAGTGTGAGGGACTGAGCCCAGGAGAGAAGGGCTCTGGACTCACTCTCACCATTTCAATCATGTTACTTTCTCTACCTAAGCCTCATTCTCTTTATCTGTGAAGTGGTAATCCTACCTCCCTGAGCTCCTATGAAATACTAGATGCTAACTGGTCTCCACGGATCCACTCTGACCACCCCCAACAATCTGTTTGCCACATGGAAGCCAGAGCGATCTCTTCTATGCTTAAATCCTTGTAGATACTTCCTGCCAGATCCATACAGCTTCTCATGGCCTGAAGACCTTGAGAAATATGGTTGCTGACCACTGCCCCAGTCTCCTATACTGCTGTTTTCTCTGCACTTTAGTCAGATTAGTCCTTTTTTACTTCCTCAAACTCACTGAGTTCCTTCCCACCTCTGAACCTTTACATATGCTAGTTCCTCTGCCTGGAACAATCTTTTCCATCTTTTATCTTCAGTCTAATGATCTCCTAGTCAACATCCAGATCCTGGTTTAAGAGTCTTGTCCTCAGGGAATCTTTCCCCGTCCCCTCTCGCATCCACTCCTACCCCCCAAGGCTAGGTCCACTATCACATCTTCTCCCTGAATACTCTCCTCCATTGCAACACCTCTCCCAATAACTGACATCTTGTCTATCTCCACTTACTCTGCATCATTCCACCTTGTGAATATCTTTCCCAGTACTTAACACGATCTGTTACCATCATGTTTGCTCACCTGTTGCTCATGTATACACTGCATCCTGCACTAGAGCAGACACTCCTTGAGGGCAGGGAGTGGGTCAGGGTCCCTGTAATAGCATTAGCACGAGGTGCAGTGCAGTACCCACACACAGTGGGCACTTGATATTTGTTGAATGATCATGTAGATAGGAAAGGATCTGAATGATAAAGAACCACCCACGTGGGCTTAGGAGTCTTTCTGCCTTTGAAGTCTCACATTCTATCTGTGGGCCCAGAGGCCCACTTCTCTTTACTGGAGGGCATCAGACTGTGATAGCAGGCTACCTTCAACAATTTCCATCTAGTGAGTTTGGGTAAGTGACTTCACCTCCATGAGCCTCATCTATAAAATGGGGATAATAATTACCACTATGGGATTGCTAGAAAGGTTAACTGCAGCCCTTAGCATAGTGCTCAGCACATATTGGCTGGGCTCAAAAAATGGCAGCAGTCATACCCAAAGATCAAGAAACAAAAGAAAAACAAGTTAATTTATCAAAATTAAAAAAAAAACTTTTTGCATTAAATAACACTATCAAGAAGTGAAAACACAACCCACAGAATGAAAGAAAACATTTGGAAATTGTATATCTTACAAGAGTCTAGTATCCAGAATATATATAGAAGTCTTACAACCCAACAATAAAGAGATACACAACCCAATTTTTAAAAGGGCAAAGAACTTGAATGGAAATATTTCCTAAGAAGATATACAAATGGCCAACAAGCTCATGAAAAAATGTTTGACATCAGTAGTCATCAGGGAAATGCAAATCAAAACCACAATGAGATACCTTTATAATCACTAGGATGTCTAGAATAAACAACAACATGGGAAATAGCAAGTATTGGCAAGGATGTGGAGAAATTGGTGTCATTGTGCACTGCTGGTGGGAAAATAAAATGGTGCAGCTGCTGTGAAAAATAGTTTGGTGACTCCTCAGAAAGTTAAACACAAAATCATCATATGACCCAGCAATTCTACTCCTGGGTATACTCATATACCTAAGAGAAATGAAAACTCATGTCCACACAAAAATTTATGTACAAATGTTCATAGCAGTATTATTTATAATAACTAAAAAATGGAAACAACTCAAATGTCCACCAATGAATTAATGGATAAACAAAATGTGATATATCCATACAATGGAATATTATTCAGCCATAAAAAGGAATGAAGTACTGATATATGATACAACATGTATGAACCTTGAAAATGTTATGGTAAGTGAAATAAGCCATATATAAAAGTCACATATTGTGTGATTCCTTTTATGTGAAATATCCAGAATAGGCGAATCCATAGAGACAGAAAGTAGACTTGTGGTTGCTAGGGGATTGGGGGAGAGGGAATGGGGACTGCCTGCTAATGGGTACAGGGTTTCTGTTTGGGGTGATAAAGATGTTATTGAACTAGATAGTGGTGATGGTTGCATAATATTGTGAATGCACTAAATGCCTCTGATGGTAAATTTCTTGTCATGTGTATTTTACCCCAATTTAAACAAATTTCAATGGTGGCAGTCATCTGTATTTGGAGCAGTCCCTTACCCTGGGCTGACAGCCAATTCCTGAGGTCACTCCTGATGTCTTGGGGGTTGATCTCTCCCCTCTTAGTAAGACCATGGTGTCTGGTTTGGCTGAGGCTGGAGCATACCTGAGCAGATGGGCTCCTGGCTGCTCCAGTGGGGCTTGGAGGCATTGATGCAGGTCAGTGTCTGGGCGCCCTGCAGCTCATAGCCCAGGTGGCAGTGGAAGTGGGCCACCCCACCTGAGTGCAGGTCCATCACTGTGACATCCCCAGAGTCAGGACGGCGGGGAAAGTTGCAGCTCAGCATAAAGGCTGGGAAGAGATACAAAGGCAGACACAGTCAGCCCTCAGAGGGGGAGACTAAGAATGTGACCCACATCCTGGGAGCCAATTTGTACTGAGAAAAGATGAGGCCCCTGGGGACTCCGCAGCACTGGAGGACAGTATTTTTGTGACTCTCACAGATCGTATGATGCTGAAGCTGCCCAGTTAGCACTTTATAAGGGCTCAAAACTCCCCACCCTGCTTAATGAGGGACAGCAGGTTTGGGGTGAAAAATGAGTTCCCATACCTCATTTGAGCCTCCCCCTATGTGGACAAAGAATAGGCTTCTCCTTGGGAATAGGAGGGGCAGGATTCTCTTGATAGGATAGTCCCACCTGCACACACATCTTAGGTGTTTGTTAAAAATGCAGACTCTTGGATCAGCTCTTCAGGAAAGGCCCCAGGATATGAAAGCTTGAAAACAACTGGCCTGGGAGCTAAGGGCTTGGGCTTTGGAGAGAGACCAAAGGGAGTTTACATTGTTATTCTGTCACTTAGAAACTATGTAACCTTGAAACAATGACCCATTGCCCTGAGTTTTACTTTCCTCATCTTTCTAGTGGCATTGATAGTTGTCCCTACCTCACAGGTGGTGGTAAGCACTAAATGAGATAATGCCAAGAAAGAGCCTTCTCAGCGCAATTCTAGTTCATAGTTAGCGCTCACTAGCTGGGGCTAGTAAAAGGGTGTGTGTGGCCACAGTTAGCTCCTCAACTTTTGTAGGAGGATGTCAAATTCATCCTAGCGACACCCCTAGCCATGATCTGACCTCTTCTGCAGCACAGAATTTCTGTATTTCCAGAACTACTTAGGAGGAATAAATTCAAGCTTATGGCTCAGCAAGATTTCTTTTTTTTTTCGTTTTTAAATTTACAACGGCAACGAAGGGTGGTCTCAATATTGAGAAGTTGGGATGAAGCGGCTACTCCCACATACAGTCATCTACCTGTGTCAGAAACGTCTGAGGGAAAAGTTAAAAGTGAATTGTTCTTCCAGATGTCTGGTCAATTTTAAATAAACGTGGATGACTCCCAATATCTGGAAGTGAAGCTGATGCATCCACTTTCCATTCAGATATTCCGGCAGCTGGTGGGTGTCCACAGGGAGCTCCTGGCTAAGGGAAGGGAGACCTGAGGCCATGGGAACTGCCCAGGAGGTGAGGAAAGGGGATGACAAGGTGGGGGGGGGAGGAAGGAAGGAAAAGAGGAATTGGGAGAGACAGAGAAGGAAGAGGGGATGGAGGGAGAAAAGGAAGAAATAAAGGAAGCAGGAAAAGAGGGAAATGAAGAGAAGGAAGGAGAAAGGAAAGAGAAGAGAGGAAAAAACAGAAAACAGGAGAGGAGACCTAGAATCAGGCAAAAAGGAAAGAAAGAAAAATTGTAGAGCAAGAACAGAGAGAGAAGGATCTGCGGTACATGTTCTCTGCCAGGAATTTATGAACTCCCAGGGGATTCGTGTACTGAATTCAGGGGTCATGAACTTGAAGGGCGGAGAGTGGCTTGCTGATTTTCATCGCCTCTAACTGAGCTGCAGTATTACCTTCAATCAGGAGTGTAGGCCACAGACTCTAACATAGTAGTAGAACCTGCGACTTTGTCTCTAAGAGAATCCACAGATACCTTCATATCCCAATGGATATCTTGACATATTTCTTATGCTCCTCAGTTCTCTAAAATTACAGTAATTATCAGAACCATCAGGGGATATTATT